AAAAAAAAAAGCAAAAAGCAAAAGAAAGTCGCGCCTGGGTGGAGAGCGGTGGGAGCAGAGACAAAGGTATAAAGAGGAAGCTGTGGGCGCGCACTGGTGCCTTCTTCTCTTCGATCAAAAACAAGTGTAAGTGTCTGACCGCTTGGTCTGGGCAGACGACGACAAGAACCAGCATTACTCACTGCTTCCCTCTCTCTCTCTCTCCCTCGCTGTATATAGCTGCCAGCCACACCCACTCGCGACTGCCGTCTTGCCTTTGTTGGCTCTGCGGTGCCTGGCGAGGATGCATTCGGGTGCCAGGGCTGCGGCGCCTTACGAGGCCGTTGCAGCCGTGGTGGACGAGAACGTTGTGATATCCCAGAACGCTATAGGAATCCGTCGCTCCGTGTACCAGATGGGTCGACGGCGCCAAACTGTTCTGGGACATTTTTCCCTTGCCCCTTTCCCTACCTCGCACACTCCTCTCCTTCCCCCCTTGCTTTGAGCACGATGCGAATGCAAACATGATGCTTGTTGTACAATGCGGCTCGTGTGGTATATGGTTACAAGGCTGAATAGTTGGCGGTCAAGGTCACGGTCGATGTTGGTGCTTGCGAGCGGTAAAGGCCGGCTTGGGAGGTAATGAAGCTTTGCCCGTGGCTGGCGGAGCTGACGGATCAGCAGACTTGGCTTTACGCAGGTGGGCGAGTTTAGCCTCCATGGCGGCGATCTTGGCGTCGGTCGAGTGCGGCTGCTTTGCGTTCTTGCTCAGGCTCAGCTGCGTCGTCCTGGCCGGCTCGCCATCGTGCCCCGCTCTTCGGTCGCGTCGATGTGGGCCTACACCCGCCGCGCCTGCGTGCTGGTCCGCATCGGCCGTCTTGGAGGCAAAGCTCACCGCGATCCTGCGTCCTCGCAGCGTCTTGTCCTGCGTGGCTGCGAGCGCGCGCAACGCCTCGTCCGCATGCGCATACTCGACAAACGCATACCCACGCGGCTGCCCACGCTGCGGCCCGCTCTTGTGGAACAGAAAGTCGAGCTTGGCAATCTTGCCGTACTTGGCGAACGTCTGGATGAGCGTATACTCGTCCACCGTTGTAGAGAGGTTGCCCACGAATAGCCGCGTCTCGTGTTTGGCCTCCGCTTTCTTTGTCGTGGCCGAGGWGGAGGAGGACGCTGTCGTTGTTCCTGTCGTCGATGTGCTTGGCCGTGTCAGATACGGATTGGGCGGATCGTCGCTCGTCGATGCTCTTCCGCTCTCGGCCATCGTATCGTGGCGATCGTCGTCTTGCGGCGGCTGCGATGGTGGTCGACTGAGCCAGAGGAGCATCGTCGGAGCCAGAACGGCACTTTAGCCTTATGGATTCGGCAGCATCACTCAGCAGTCCTCCTCCACACGCGGAGGAGCCGAAGAAGCGGTGAGCCAAGAAAAAAACAATGTTAGATTCGCTATCCGCACGCGTTGCCGCAAAGACCAACACTTTGAGGCGGCGCTTGGACCTCCTCCTCCTTCTCCCCACCATCACCACCACCCTCACCATGCACACACGCTGCTGAGCATACCGTGTCACAATGTCGAGTCCTGTGGACAGGGCCGCAAGCACAGATGCTCCCACACATCGAGCACCGCGCAGAGCAGGCGGCAGCAGCACCTCGCTCAGCTCGCTCCCTTCGCGCCTCGTCGCACCGCCGCCGCCCACGCTCAAGCCTTCCTCGCCCGACGTGCAGCTCGACCTCAGCTCGGCCGCATCCGCCTCCACCGCCCACACCCACGCAACACTGCGCTCGGCCAGCGATGCACCTCGTCCACGCTCCGTGCTGCCTTCCTCCTCCAGCCCACGCCCCACCACCAGCGTCATCGAGTCGAGCCAGCTCTGGAAGACTTCCGCCGCAAAACGTGCAGAGAAGAGCTGGGCACTCCAGACCGAGCGCGCGCTCTACTCGGACGCCAAGTTCAAAAAGTACCTCGCCCTCGTAGAGCGCACGCTCGCATCGTTCGACAGCGTCAGCGAGTGGGCCGATTTCATCTCATTCCTCGCGCGCCTCCACAAGGCCATCCAGGCGTATCCGGCGTACAACGTGGTGCCGCGCAAGCTCATCGTTGCAAAGCGCCTCGCACAGTGTCTCAACCCGGCGCTGCCGTCGGGTGTCCACCAGCGCGCGCTCGACGTCTACCACCACATCCTCAGCGTCGTCGGCCCCGACGGCCTGCGTAGGGACCTTCACGTATGGACGTCGGGCCTCCTCCCCTTTTTCCAGTATGCCTCCACGTCGGTCAAGCCTACGCTGCTCGCCATCTACGAGACTTTTTACCTGCCGCTCCACGACGACCTGCGTCCGCTCACAAGGGCGCTCCAGATGGCGCTGCTCCCCGGTCTCGAGGAGGAAACGAGCGAGTACTTTGACCGCACGCTTCGCCTGCTCGACCGCATCTCGGACGCCGTGGAGCCGGCCTACTTTCTGCAGAACCTCTGGCTCACGCTCATCACCACGCCGTTCGTGCGCCTCGCCGCGCTCAACTACCTCACCCGCAGGATGCCCGACCTCACGCAGCACGACGATCCCACGCTGCTCGTCGGTAAAGATCTTGGCCTCATGGTTCGCGGTCTTGCCCACGCCCTCGACGATGACCTGCTGCTCGTGCGTCGCAACACGCTCGACATCCTCGTCACCCATCTCGCCGTCGACAAGCCGCTCTTTCGCCGATTCGTCAAACGCCCCGACCAGATCCTCCTCGTTCGATCCGCCCTGCACGTCGTTCTCCGCAAGGACCTCAGCCTCAACCGTCGGCTCTACACCTGGCTCCTCGGCGCAGATGAGACACCCGCGGCACAGATCGCCTTTCTCGATGCAAACGCACTCGACCTCGTCCGCAGCGCTCTCGCACAGGGTTTTCATGGCGCCTCGGCCCTCGACACGCTCGAGCGCCAGAAACCGTACCGCATCTTTGTCTCGCTGCTCGACAAGTGGGAGATCGGCCAGTCGCTCACACGCGTCCTCGCCCTCGACGCCTTCTACGCCATCAGCCTCCAGGTCGCAAAGAGGCAGGAGGAGGAACTGGTGACCACGGCAAAGATGCTCTTTGAAGTCATCGATCCGTTTTTGCTCTACGGCCGATTCTTTCACGCCATCACCGAGTCCTTGCAGCCCGAAAAAGGCTCCGAGGAAGAGGGGAGATCGCCCCTGTCGCTGCTCTGCTTTATATTCAAGGCGTTTCACATCCACGACGACGAGACAAAGCACATTCACGTGCCGCTGCTCTTTGCCGCCATCACGCAGCTGCTTGACCAGCGCCTTACGCAACCTGGCGGTGATTCGACTACGGACTTGCTCGATGCGCTCGAGCTGCTCAAGCTGTTGATTACCGCCATGCCCTCGCGCGTGTTTGTGCGCATCGCCGAGCCAGCGCCCGCCGAGCCAGCGCCCGCCGAGCCAGCGCCCGCCGAGCCAGCGCCCGCCGAGCCAGCGCCCGCCGAGCCAGTCGACGCATCGTCATCGGCCAGCCCGGACTTTTGGCAGCGCGCACACCGCCTCTACGCCTCGAGCGAGACCGACAGCCAGCACGCCGCACGCCACTTTGTGGGCTTTCAAGACGCCGCCTCGGCCAGCGCGCTCGTCGAGCTGCTCAGCCATGTAGCGCTGCGGTGTGGCGAGCGGGCGCGCGAGTCGGCGGCGCGAACCGAGCTGTTTGTGCGCGCGCTCGATGTGTTTGCCGACCTCATGCGCGTGCTCGACGGGTCCGAGGCGGCCGACGAGATCGCGCTCGTGCGCGCCGATGCATCCAGCGCACCGCTGCGCACACATAAGCTGCATTGGAACGCCGACAACTGGGCCGATTTGCTGCTGCCGTTTCTTGAGCATGTCGCGTCGTTTGCGCAGGTGGAGCGCATCGTCGAGGTGCTCATCTCGTGCTGCATCTGTCGCGCGCTCGACCGCCCGCTCGTGCTCGATGCGCCCACGCGCGTCGACCGCATCGTCGCCGCACTGCTTCGCTACCTCAGCCCGGCCATGGCACCCTACCACGTGCGCGCCGTCGAGCTGCTCTGGGCCACCAACAAGGTCACGCGCCGCTCGCGCCTCGAGACCGCACTGGCGCATCAGCTTAGCCAAGGCAATGCAGCCGCGCGCGCTGCAGCACTCACGGCGTTCGGCACGTACTGGCGGCTGAGCGAGGATGTGTCGACGGACGAGCTGCGCACGCCTTTGCTGCTTGTGCTCGACCGGCTGCAGGCGGCCGATGCCGACGAGCGGCAGCACGCCGAGCTCTGGCTGCGCGCACACGTCCGCTCGTACGTCAAGCTCGTCGATCCACTCGTGCACATGCTCGTCCACAACCAGCCTGCGCAACTCGCACCCGCCACAGTCGACCTCGACGGCATCAGCGTGGCGATCACCCACGTCGAGCAGCCGTACAACCACGAGATGGTGGTGTATGCGCTGCGTACGCTCGCCGCGCTCGTGCGCTTCGCCGGCGCGGGTCTCGTCAAGGCACTTGCGTCCACGTCTCTATCGGCGTCCCTCAGCACAACCACCAAGCAGCTCGTGCGCGCCAAGACGCTCGATGGCGCCGCGAGCTATCTGGACGTGGTGCTGGACGAGTGCGTCGTGTGGATGCGCACGTATCCGGCAGTGCAGCTCGAGGCGCAGCTCGCGGCGTCGTCCGACACGCTGCGTGCTGCCGCAGTGGATGCCATGCACGGCCTCCTCCAGCGTGCCGCCGTGTCGCCGAGCCGCACCGACGAGCTGGAGCGCGAGCTGATCCAGGCGCTGCTAGTTGGCGTGCATCGCGGCGCGACGGCGGTGCAAAACCGCATGCTGCATACGCTGCACACCCTGCTCGCAGCCAAGACGGGCGCCGCAGCCCAGCGCACTGCTGCCTCGGCAGGCATGCATTCGCGCACCGACTCGACAGGACGCAGCGAGGCGGATGCTCCACAACCTTCGCCGTCGCCCCAGATAGCGCAACCGCACCCGCTGCTGCTGGCCATGCTGCAGCGCGGCCTCTCGACGCCGTCGAATCGAGCCATGCTGCAGCACTGGTCGGACTTTGTGCTGTCCACCGCACCGCTGTACCGGCGGCAGGCGGTGGGGCTGCTGCTCGCGCTCAACAGCAGCGTATGTGCGCAGCTCGACGCAGCGATGCGCGAAGTGAGCGTCGCATATGCGCCCGCACCCAGCAGACCCACGTTTGGCGCCGAAGTCGTAGTGGCCGAGAGCGACGCACAGTGCAGCGTGCTCGAACCGGACGTGCTGCTGCTCGTCCACCTCGTCGAACGCACGCTCATGCTCGCCACGCCGCAGCTGGGCCACGATGGCACAGGCGCTCGCACGGCGTCTGCATCTTTGGGCGCGACTGGGCAGTCGGAGAAGGCGAGCGGCGAGAGCGCACCAGGCATCCTGGGCTACGTCAGCAATGTCTTTGCGTCGGATGGAGGCGGCGACGACAAGGCGGAGGATGGTGCGGCAGCGCGTCGACGCGCACTGGCGGTGAGCGTATCTACGCTGCACGGCGTATGGGAGCGGTGCGGACTGGAGCTGTCTGCAACGGACGCCAAGTCGCTCTCGCTCGAAGCGATGAATAGCAAAGTGCGGGTGCGATGCCGGCGGGCATTTGACCGCATCTACCGTGCTCACCCGGGCGAGACGGTCGAGGCGCTGCTGCGGTGCTGGCAGCGCGCGCGGCACGACACGCGCGGGGCCGAGGCGGTGGTGGAGGTGCTGGCGATCGTGACACCGAGCGCGCAGATCCTGGTGACATTCCTGTGCGACGTGCTGGGCACACGCATGATCCGCGGCGATGCTGATCGATCGCGGCGCACAGCCAGCTCAAACGCGGCGGTGGCGGTGAGCGATGCGACGCTGCTGCTGTTCTTTGAGCAGGTGCTGGAGCGCATGGATCCGGCCGAGGCGACGCAGGTGTGGCCGGTGGTGATTGTGCTCGTCAAGGAGTTTGTGGCGAGTGCACTGGCGCGCAAGGTGCACGTGTACCCGATGCTGCGCATCCTCACCGCGCTGGGCGAGAAGCTCTGTCTCACCGCCGGCATCGAGGAAAGACGCACGCGGCGCGAGCTGCAGGACAACTACGCCAAGCTGGTGGACGCGTGCATTCTGCTGTCGGGGCGGTCGCTGGATGCGTCGACGTGGATGCGGCGCTCGGGACGCGACGAGGATGTGGGCGTGGAGCGCGAGGCGGACGAGCTGGCGTGTGCGCTTGCGCACGAAGCGTCCGGCGTAGTCGAGGCGATCAATGTGTTTCTGGCGACGCGCGCGTTGGCAGCACTGCGCAAGATGCAACTCGACACGGATCGCGTGCAAGCACTCGTTGCGAATGCGGTGTACTACATTGCGGCGCCTGCTGCGCGCACGCGGAGCGAAAAGCTCGAAGTGGAACCCCACGTCGTGGCGCTGCTGTCGGAGCTGGTACGGATGCCCGGGACGGTCAAGGCGTGGCGCAGCACGGTCGGGGATCTCTTCGGCGACGCACGCTTCTTTAGCATGGGCATTTCGAGTGCGACACGGTGGAAGCCGATCGTGGTTGCGTTGCTGACGCAGGACAAGGAGCGACTGGCCGACGTGCTGGCGCGCGTCTCGACGGCCTCGACGGCAGCCAACATCTTTGCGAACCGCGAGCTGGAGATGGTGTCGCGCGCGCTGAGCCTGCGTCGACTTTCGTTTACGCTGTTTGCGGGCGAGCGCGATGCGTTTGTGGTGCAGCTTGCGCAGATCCAGGAAAAGGTGGTGGAGCTGCTGCGCACGGCGCCGAGCGAGGTGCTGCAGGCCGAGGTGTACCTGTGCCTGCGCGTGGTGCTGGTGCGGTTCAGCGCGCGCCATCTGACGAGCTTTTGGCCCGTGCTCATGACGGAGCTCATGCGGCTGTACGACGGCGTGGCGAGCGAGCCGGAGCGGTTCGAGCAGAGTGCGGATGCGCGCCAGCTGGTGCTGTCGACACTCAAGCTGCTCGACATGCTGGTGCTGCTGCAGCCAGACGATTTCCAGATCAACGAGTGGATGTTTATCACCGACACCATCGACGCCGTGTATCCGTCGGACGACTTTCACGCAGATACGCTGCTGGATGCGCTTGCCGCGACGTTTTCGCGCGACACTACGGCCAGCAGTGGCAAGACCGGCGCGAGCTCACAGCAGCATCAGGGCGGAGCGGGGGCAGGTGCGGCTGCAAACGGGCAGCGACGGCTGGAGCTGGGCCACATGCGAACGATCTCATCGCTGGGCGAGGTGGTGCCATTCCTGCACTCGGTGTCGCAGAACGCATTCGAGGCGCACTACTCGGACGGCGGCGTGGACATGGAGCATGTCGAGGCGTGTCTGCTGCGCGACATGTTTGATGGCGATGACGACTCGCGATCGGGCGCCGATTCGTAAAGTGCAATGCTAGATTGATCTATGCGGAAGAGGGATGGCCGAGTGGAGTGGGAACCGGTCGCGAAAAGAGTGGCGCGGGTAGAGCGGGTAAGTGGGGTGAATCTTCCCAGGCCAATGCGAAGAGCTGCAAGAGCTGCAACTCGCGATGGCACGACTCGAGTGCATGTGCAGCGGCACCTGACAGCTCGCCTATGCCTCGCCCAGGGCCCATAGTATGGTTTGCGAAGAGAGAGAGAGAGAGCAAGGGTGGCGAAAAAAAGAAGGATTCCATCGATTCGCGTAAAAAATGGGACGCCATGCATTTGCTAGGCACCAGGCGGAATAACAGCTGAGCTGCGTCGTTGGTGCATTGATGGGGCCTTGGCGTAAAGAAAATGGGCGTCGACTGGATGTGCAGCTGAGACAGGTGTGCCTTTGCGGCTGCATCTTGCATGCAAAGTCCCATTTGATGGGGCGTCACTTCAAAATTCCGAGGCGCGGGACCGGATGGTAGAGTCTGGATCTTGTAGATTGGCTGGTGTTGCGCTAACAAAAGCAAGATCTGGCCGACGACGATCAACGAGCTGCAACGAGTGGATCGGGATTGGGAGACGCGGGGATGCAACTCGGCGATGAAAAAGCGGCACGGCACCCGGTGCGTTGCGTTTTGCAGCGGATGAATTGGCGAGCAAAGAGGCGGGCCCGACGTGCAGTCGTCGCAGCTGCCAACGTGTGCTCGGCTGGCGCCAATCGTTGCAGATGCGACAGCGCGCCCTGGCAGTCGAGTGCAGCTGGCTTTGCATGGGATCACCGGCACTAGCCTCGACTCGCCTACGAAGACAGCCCGGCTCTCCCGAACAGACACTCCCGCGGATGACAGTGAGGCGTGAGAGCCAAGCGCGGAAGCGCACCGACGAGGACAATCACTCGCGCGCGCCCGCGTGTTGGTCTCACTCGAACCCGCTCGGATGGCCCGCCTTGGCTCTCTCTCTCTCTGCTTTATCCTCTGCATTTATCCCTGGCTCGGCCCGCAGAGTGACAATTTGGACCCTGACCCGTTGCTGCACCTGGCCCGCAACTACGATCGGCGTCGGATTTTCCCGCGTATTTCTCCTGGCTGTCAACGCTCTTTTTTCTCAGCTCTTTTCTCCGCGCGCGGTGGGGCGAGGTGGGGCGAGGTGGGGCGAGGTGGGGCCAACTGAGCCACGGCCATGACAGCCAGCCTAGCTGCAGCCCCTTGCCGCCTCGCCTGTCAGAAGGCCGTCTCGCGTGTATGGAAGGTGGCAAAGCCGCGATCTCGGCTCGCATCCTGAGTCGGTGGACTGACTGCCAAAGCTTATCCCATTCCCGTCATCCGTAGACCCTGGCTTGGCCTGGTCTGGCCTGATTTGCTCTGACCGGGACTGACCCGCTTCGGCCCTTCCATATAACCAACGCATCCCTCGGCCTGGCGCTCGTCGTCGTCATCATCGTCCCCCACCGCATGTCTCCCTCACACTCAGCCATGACCGCCTTCTCCACCTCCTTTGGCCGTCTGCCATCCATGCGCAGGCGAGAGTCCAAGAACAAACCCGTCAAGCCCATCGACGTCGATGCTGCCCAGCAGTACGTAGACGCTGGCCCTTCCTCCGCCGCCTC